TCCAGCTGCGACACATATAATCTTCCAGTTTTTAAGATAGTTGTTACAGATTTGCTAAAAGTTCTAACGTCTACTTTTTTCACGATAATACTGTACAAAAAAGTAATATTGTTATGTTGAATTGAGAAATATATAATCAATAGATTCTTTCTTCAAATATTGAGTGACGTAGACATATCTATTTTAAGCTGTAGAATGCAATTAGATAAAATTTACATAAACATTTGTAACATATATTTCGGACAAGTAGGTACTAATTATATTATATCCGAGTTTTTTATTTATGTGCTAAGTACGTCACTCAAAGATTTGTCACTAGAGAAAAATTTTGTTGTATTCATGAAATCGGTTTAGTTTTTATAAATGTAGTAACACAGTATTTGATTTTAAAGAATAATTTGAAAAATATTACATTTTAAAGTAATGTCTATAATTATGTATATAATTTTAAAAATTTTAACAATTTTGTTAAGTTATAAATTTATAAATATGTATGTATTTAAATTTACAAATCTTATACATTTATAAACACGAAACCGATATACGACAAATAAGTCATTTATAAATTATAGACCAAAGAGCGTGCCGCGTGCGATAGAGAGAGAGAAAGAGAGTTGTCGAGCGGGAGAGAGGGAGTGAGAGCGAGAACTATGATATGATTGAGAGAGAAAGAGGGGCAGACAGAAGCATTACAGCGCGTTCGTTACGCAGATAAATAATGTTTCGAGAAATAATGTGTACAAGAAATTAATGGAGATTATAGTTAATATAATTAATGCTATGATCTATATGCTACACTGGTGAAATATGAGCATTTTTCTTATGTATTTAAATATACAACTTAGTATTGCAATTGAGATATTTTCTCATTGCAGAAATATAAATTCTTACATCCTTATTTCTTCATCTCATTTATATTTTAGATACGCCACCTTTGTTATCGTCATTTCTTTCATTCTCCATCGCAATATACATCAAATTATTGGTTTGATTTTTATATTCTTTACATTCAGTTGCTAATTATATCATGACTACAGTTTTTCAACGTTCTTAGATTTAAACACTTTAGTATTTATTATAAAATAAACGAATAAATAATATTTTAAATTTGCTACAATTTACTATCTTGTTATTGTTTTGTGGATATAAAACAGTTTTTCTGTCTCAATAACATAGAAAATATTTAGTTAAATAAAAAGTAACAAATATAAATTTTTATAATGAAATGTATTGACCGCAAAAATTGGTCGAAAAGTTTAATTAATTCCGAACACTGTTATGAAGCAAGAATAAATCGCTTTAATACTGCTTATTCAAATTTGATCAAAATTAAACGTTTTTTTTCTTTCAATATTTGGGAGCGTAATGAATATTTGTATAACATAATTAAATAAAACATGGGTTTATATAGATATATATATATATATATATTTTTTTTGTATATATATTATAAATGTTATAATTATTATCACATACTTTATGTATTTGTGTAAATATACAATCAGTCTCGAATTATGTTTAAATAATTACATGAATCTTCAAATATGTTATTTTCACACATGCAAATCTGTGTGACGAAAGCTCATTTATGACGCAAACAATAACATTAAATTCGTAAAAGATTCAAGAAATTTTGAAATAAACGAAATAACATTAAAATAATAAAATAATACAATTTTCTACTTATAATACCTTAGATACAACTTTAATTTCAGTTGAGAAATTTTAAAATAATGATAACATTAAAATGATAAAATGATAAAATCTGCTACGTGCTATAATTATTTTAGAGATGACATTAAATTCGTAATGGAAAACTTTTTAAATAACCTTAAAATGATGATGTAATACAATCTAGTACATGCCTATAATACTTTAAGACAACATTAATCATAATGGAAGAATTTTTATACCAGCATAAGCATAACATTAAAATAATAAAAGAAATGGTACAGTATTTTACACATAATGCTTCAGAATATTGTTACATTACTTATTAGAGATTCAAGTACAGACGGAACATTTGCATAGATATATTGTAAACGTAATTTGTTGAAATATTTAACGTATGTTCGGAGGTATTCGTACTTTTCTCTTTTTTTTGTATTTAATGTTTTTTATTTGCTTTCTTCTACATGTTCACGAATATTTAAAAAATTTAATGTACAATGTAATAATGACAGTATTTATTTTTACAAGACATACATTTATTCGAATATTCGGTTATTTTATACAAAATTGTCAGAGCCGCTCTTTAGTTATGATCTTTAAAACATGGACATTATGTTTGTTTCTTGCGCATATTTGAAC